TCATAGCTCAAGAAATTGCCCAGTTAGAATGCGCTCACTCACCAGCTCCCATACCACTTGTTGCCATGCCAGTTAGTTTCCCTGTACCAATAGAAACCGAGTCGTCAGAAAACGCTCTTCACAACAGTGAACCACCACCGAGGAAAAAGCAAATCACAAGAAAAAAAGATAAAGGTCGATTACATTACCGTGTTTATCTTTACATACGATACAAGTATGCTGAAGTGATGTTGACGTAGCGGTTACGTACGTTAACGACCCTGCTATTTTAGATGGTTGAGTCTGTCTACGGTCGACGCACCTTTTAATCTCCTGTTTAACGTTCTGAGAGCGCTGCATGACCTTTATTTGATCTCGCACGAACGATGCTAATGAATGAAAGGAAGGCATCTCCGAGCTACGATGCTCCATTTCAAACGCACGCACGGTGTCGGGGTCTAATTTCTTTAGTTCAATATGGAGAAACACCACGTCCATAAGGTCATTAAATTTTAAATTCTTAAGTGCAGCCACCGATGCCACAAATTTTTCTAGAAACTGCTCTAAGCCGTTGATGTTCGCGGATGATATAGGTTTAAGATCGAATATCTGGTTCAAATATTCGAAAGCTAACATTCTCCTATCTTCATATTTAGTTTTAAGCGTTTCGAATATTAATAAGTAATTGTTTGCTGTAGGTGTAAAACCCGAGCAGATCGACTGTGCCCTCCCACTAAGTTTACTAATTAAATAATACAATTTTTCAGCGTTCGATAACGATGGGTTATTGTGTATATTGTTATGAAAACTACTGAAGAAGAAGGGTCTTAATATCACCATTGAATACCGGAATATCTATTGGCGGCAACCTAATTGAGTCACGTGGACGTACCTGTATTTCCGGCTTTGCTTCGCTTTGAGATTGTAGGAGTTTTTGCCGTTCTTTTCACGCGACACAACATATCTTCGAATGCCAGCAGCGGTTGGTAGTTCACTATGTATTTCGGGTCGATTTGTAATTCCAAATGATTAATTTGGTCTAATATTCTTTCGTAATCCGTCCGCAAAGAATCCACCGTTTCGATTTCATTCAGAAAAGTTTCCCGCACCGCTTCTACATTAATGTTCTTTATGTGATCGCTAATGCTTTGTATACGTGAAAAAAGTACGTCCCTCTTGGCATATAGCGTTTTAATTTTAAATTCATTTCCACTAACTGCCATTTTAAATTATAATAACAAAGTTATTAATCACAATTAATCTCACAACGCACAACGATGGACGATGGACACTCGGTATGCCGTATTACGTAATTAAATCGAACACCTGCTACAGCGAGTCGAGATGACGCGTTGCTCGTTGCGGTAACTCAATATTTTTATCAAATTGTCGGGTAAGCGTACCAAACGGTTGCTATCACACTGTTTCAATTTTAAAGCTTTAAATTTAACGAAATACGAGCGCTATGAAATAAACAATTCTGTTTGCGAGTGCCTAATCAAAATTTAAATTTAAAGGAACACTATTTACACTATTTACGAACACTAATTATTCGACCAGAAAATGGTTGTATGACCACTAAACACCAGTGCAAATCCTGCCGAAGTGACCATAAAATGGTGGAGCCACGTGTCTAAGGCTGCCGAAGTCTAGTTCCCCGGTCGAACCTTAAACCTATTACGCGAGATATTATTCTAAGTGGACTGTATCTACAAATGCTTCTATGCTTATATAACGACGACTATAGCGCGCGGTACAATGCACTCGATCTTCCCTAAGATGAACTATTATTTGCCAAATCGATGAAAGGAATCCTGCTTGATTAGGAAAACACAAAATTGGAGCGGGTTAAAACAATTATATCAAGCAGGCAATAATATTGGATATTGACTCACCGGGATGTTTCTTCTATGCGGTCTAGCACTATAACTGCGACTTCTGGAACACTCCGGAGAGGGGCGGTGCGCGACTATATCTCACACGAGGTGAGGCGGGTTTCCTGGAGCTCGACTGCTTCCAGGCTAAAGCGGTTTCTACTAGTGATGTGGTTCTAATGACGAGCGCGGCGGGAAGAGACTATTATCCTAGACGGTGTAGTTCCAACGATGAGCGCGGCGGGAAGAGCAGCTCTTTAGGACACTATTATCCTAGGCGGTGTGGTTTCAACGACGAGCGCGGTGGGAAGAGGCTGCGCGTCGGTCGCGCGTGCCTTATATATCCTCGGTTCCGATGATTACGTGATGTTCTAGAATCATCTTCTTTCCCCTCCCACCCCACCACCCCGATGTGTCGATAGGAGGGTATGAATGATATCGTTTTTGGAAAGGGATAACCGACTTGGCACCTACCGTCAAATATAAAATAAATACGAATGGTTTTCCGCGCAACCAAATATGAAAATCGATTATTAAGAATAAACTCCCTAATCATTAAATAACAAACCACACACAATCTATAAAGATAAATAAAATTGAAGTGTCTGTTTGTAATATTAAAATAAAAGCTTTTTTACTAAACGCATATGAAAATATATACGGTACTTATAACAAAAACAACAACTTTGAATGTTTTTGTCTGTCTGTTTGTCGGTATGCGTGTTTGTTCCAGCTAATCTACGAAATGGCTGCTCCAATTTTGACGTGACTTTCACTACCAAATTGACACATTTTATAAGGAGTGAACTTTTATTTAAGAAAAAGAGTTCGTGTATCCGCGCAAATACGGTTGATTGGCCATCTCCCTACCGGACATTTCATGAAATTTTCAAGATTAATTCCAAATAAATCGTTGTCTCTTTGTCTTGAACGAAAGAACAGTTTTAATGCGGTCTGCGGCAATCAATGTTGGTTTTTGAAGTTAAGGGCTGATTAGATTTTGGAAACGATCGCTATATTACTTTAAAAGTTATCTCAATATAACTTTATTTTTAAAAATTTAATTTTTGAGATTTTTCAAAATCTGCCAAGCCAAATTGATTCAAATTCACATGAAATCTCTCTATCATACACTCAGACACACACATACACACACACACACACACACACACACACACACACACACACGCACGCACACAGGCACGCACACACACGCACGCGTGCACATACATACGAAGGGACATCCTCGTAGGAATAGTCAAAATAGCTTCCTAGGACCTCAAAACATGATGATGTGATGAAAACTCGATTTGCGAAATCCGGGGTTGAAACCAATAACTTCTCGATTATTCAAAAAACATTGATTTTCATAGTTGGAAGTTAAAAAACGTGGTAACATAATAAAATTAAGTTTTTTAAAAATAGTTATTTTAAATGATTCTATTCCTATAATCTTCCGTTTCACTTCCAGGGTGACAGTGGCGGTCCGCTGCAGCTGAAGAACAAGAAGATCCACTGCATGTACACTGTGTTGGGAGTGACTTCGTTCAGAAAGGCTTGCGAGTACATCGGGGAGCCGGGGATAACCAAGGTTTCGGCCTTCGTACCATGGATAGAGAGCGTTGTGTGGCCTTAAACCAGGAGGTTAAAATCTAGGAATTGGATATTAACAACAATTGTGTTGGTACTCATTTAGCTTTAAGTGCAATAATTTTCAACCGACTTCAAAAAAGTAGGAGGTTTTCTCTCTATTCGACTTCATTTTTTTATGTGTTACTTCAGAACTTTTTATTAGGTGAACCGATTTTGGTGATTCTGTTTTTATATGAAAGCACCAGCTTAGTAGAAACATGCGGTCCGATATAAATTTGATCGAGATCTGACCACTAGTTTTTGAGTTATCCTTAATAATGCGTAATTTTTTTTTATCGACTTGGAATGCATTGATGATTTTCTCATTTTATTTATATTGAAGTCATTATACAAAGTTTTTAATTCCACCACCTGTGTATATGGCAAAATATTTTTATACTTTAAATATAATTTTTAAATGGTAACACTGTGTTTTTATTTTAATGTTATTATGAACGAATTCAGTGTAGACGGCAAGGGTTTCCTTTTACTTATTATAAATCAGTGCTTGGTTGCAATCCCATCTGATGGTAAGTGGTGGTGAAGCGCTAGATGGTGGCTAGATAGTGCCTAGTGGCCTATTCACTCTTGCCTTGAACATGCACAGATTGTGATCGGACGGAAAGATAGACGTCGGTAGATTACCACTGCTTTGCTATGTACGTTCTTTTCTCTTCTATTTGCTATGCTATTGTACGCATTACGAAAGAGCAAACAAGCAATATAGTATAAATGCGTAAAGTATATAACAAGGAGGTAAAAAAGGCGCGGACCGCCTGGTGGTCCCATGGTGGAAAGAGTAGGGAGGTATTAAAGCATGTAATTCCTGCGCACACTCAGCGAAATGCATCTTAAATATTCCGAAGAGACTGGCCACTTTATGCCCGTGCTCGAGGCTGACAAGATTGTATTTAAAGAAGACTCTATTAAAGGAAGTGTGTAACCATAAAAGTAGTATAATAATATGTGGTGACTTCAATATAGACATTTTGAAAAATAAGAGATTAACAAAATAATTTGAATGCTTTCTTTTGAGCTTTAACCTTAAATTAGAAATTAACCAACCTACTAGATTAGACAGCAATACGTGTTTGGATAAATTTGCTCATAATTTGAAACAAAAGTGCAAAATCGAAGTAATAGACCTTATCAGACCATACAGCTCAGATTGTAAAAATAAAAGTTAACAAATTAAAACAAATAAAATCTTGGGGTCAAACAATAAGAGATACGTCAAATGAAAATATATTCAGTATAAATAAATTCAATAAATATCTCCAACAGTTATAATTTTCAGACATTTATAGTACTGACGACCCTGATAATAGTTTTATCGATTTATTTCTTTTATTATATAATTTGTGTGTTTTCTTTTAAGTCGGTTATTATAGTACGCACTGAAAATCTATTAAGATTGATCCATTGAGATCAATGGTTGGATGTTCAGCGTAAGACAAATAAAAATTTAGGAAAACATATAAAGGTAGGGATGGAAGACTAAGGAAAGGGAAAGAGATGGGGCTAGCGTGTGGAGAAAATTGTAAGTTAAAATGTTCACAAAAAGTTACAGATTTTGAAAGTAACCTGCTTTTTAAGGCGTTTTGGTCGATGGGAGAGATAGTTCGACATTTAGATTTAGATTTCATCAATAAGTACTGTGATAAAATTCCAAAACATCGTGTTACTACTGAAACTGCTTCAAGAAGAGAATTCACTTTACGATATTATTTACCTACAAAAGTAGATGAAATTCAAAATGCCAATGAAATAAATGAGACTGATTTGCTGGCTACAAAACCACAGGTAACGAAGACACAAGTTTGCAAAACCATGTTCTTGAACACTTTTGGAAGGTTTCGTTTACTCCGCTCTGAAAAAACTGTCATTGCAAGGCACTGTTGTCCACGACAAAAGAAGCCTCCATGGGCATACTAAAAAAATCACTGATGAGATGATTGCCAGTGTTTGTCACCATGTGAACAGCTTTGCTCCTGTGGAATCGCATTATATTCGAGAGCAAACTAATAAAGTGTAATTGGATGAATCTCTTACATTCGCTCGAATGTTTCTGCTCTATAAAGATTGGGATGATGCTCGAAACCAAAATAAAGTAAAAACAGCAAGACAATACAGAGATATTGTTAATAAGCATATAAATTTGGGATTCCATGTCCCCAAAAAAGATCAATGCGATGTTTGCCACGTGGATAAAAATTTACCAAGGCCTATTACTGAAGAGCAACTTAAAATTTACAACACACACATGAGAAATAAGACAATTGCGCGAGAGCTTAAGAATAAAGATAAAGAAAGCTCTTTGAAATCAAATAAAGTTATTTCAGCAGTATATGATTTTCAAAAAGTGCACGGAATACCCTACAGTGAAATAAGTATTCTTTACTATAAAAGAAAATTAACCGTATTAAATTTCACCAATTTTGAAATGGGAAGCAGAGTTGCCAAGTGCTATGTTTGGGATAAAAGCACCGCAAGGCGAGTAGCAAACGAGGTGAGTAGCTGCTTATATGACTACATTAAAGAAAATCACCAAAGGGCGTAAAAGTTTTCAACTTTTGGTCTGATAATTGTGGAGGACAGAATCGTAATCGAATTGTTCTTGCTGCCTACTTGCGAGCAGCAAAAGATTTTCAAGTCACCATAACTCATAAATATTTTGAGAAAGGTCATACACAAAATGAGGGCGACAGCGTACACGCACTTATCGAAAGAACTGCCAAGAATAAAATGGTGTACACACCCGAAAAATGGTTTGCCCTCATAAGGTGGGACAAACAAGATGGAAACCCATACATAGTAAAGAAAATGACTACTTCAAATTTTATAGATTTCAAAGCACTGCTCCCTGGATGCAACTGGACTATAAATACAGACAGAGAACGAGTTTTCTGGTCCCATCTTAAGCAATTAGAAATATTGCCAAAATACACTGACAGAATACAGTACAAAACCGATTTTTGTGACCACAAGCTCAAGTGTATTATTGTAAATAATGCACTAGAGACTCCTAAAACTAGAGCAAAAAACCGCATGAGATTAGACAATAGTCCACTTCCAGCCTCGCTTTCAAGAACATTGAGCCAAGCATACGAGGGAAAGCTTCCAATACCACAAGGACAAACTTCAGGACTTAAAATACTTATGCCGTTATAATTTAATACCTTTCATTTATCATGATTTTTACATGAGGCTGATAGAGGGTGATGATGAAAACGAACAAGCCCAAGAAGACGAAGAAGAATAAACAGTCACTAAAAGATTTATCTTGTGATACTATTACGTAGATCTCTGTACGGGTAATTAATTAATGATAATTTCAAAAGTGTCATTATTGAAATCGTTACATAATGAGTTAAATATAAACAGAAATGTTATCCTTAAGAATATGATAAAAATATTAATTAGTAACTATTTATTTTATCAACATTTGATCTCAGTACAAGAACGTAACAAAAGAGCTTTAAAAAACAAGTATTTTCTGAAATTGTTAAGCAATAATTTTTTAGTCTATTAATATAATAGGATGATAAAGACCGAGAATGTCTCAAATAAGAGAAAAATCTGAATATTTTTGTTATTTTGTTGATTATGATTGTTGTTTTTAATTTGATTTTTATACTTTTTCTTATAAATGTTATACTTTAGATTATTTTTTGGTATAAAGAAAAATCAACAGAATTTTTTTTATTTGAGCATAAGACACGTGAAACAAAACTTTTATTATATATACTACATTTTTTCAATTACGATAAATAAATATTAATGCAAATTTATCTATTGTCTTTAATTTGAAAATAACAGGACTCATGAAGACTTTTATTTAGCTTCAAATTCAGATACCTTTCTACAACAATAATACAATTACGGTGATAAAATATGCAAGTAACATTTACACAGAATATTTCAAATGTCTTTACCAACTATAACTGTGTAACTGGTGGTTAAAGAACTTAGGTTCTTAAATATTCGATGTGTGTATGTGCCGCTTAGCATGTTTTGTTAAATTCTTAGAACAAGGTAAAAGTATATACAGAATGGGGTCCCACATATATGCAATAAATGAAACCACAAGTAATACTAGTCCGTAGAAATGTAAAAAAATTAAATATTAAATTAAAACCCGTAAAATAAAAAAAGCGAAATTTTCAAACAAAATAAATATTAAAATAAATTCAGTAAAAGTGAACACTCTGTTTAGACAACGTACCTTGACCCCTTGGAAGAGTGACAACGTTGCACGCGGGTGGCATGGCGATTGTCGGCACGGCCTATGGTTCGTTGGACAATGTGCGACAAAATAAAAACTTACTCACTAAACTGTTTAGATATTTTACCGCCACTTTTTTATTTCGCGAAAATGTAACTGAACGAAATAAATTTTATTGCATATTAGTAGCAAAATTTAATGAAACCCTAAATTTTAAAATTTTCAAAATGTCCGCCACGTTCTTGAATGCACAAGTTACATCGCCGCATAATGTTGTCCTGAAGCCTGCTCAACAAATTTCGTTCAGGATCCAGAGCCAGGGCTTTTAATTTGTTAAAGGCGGCAACAATACGATTGCGCAGTTCATCTTCGGTTTCGGAGAATTTTGAGTACACTTCATTTTTAAAGCCCCATAAAAAGAAGTCTAGAGGAGTGAGGTCGGGCGATCGAGCTGGTCACCTGCGAGGGCCATAGCGCCCTATCCATTGTTCGCCGAACATGGTGTTAAGCCGCTCTCTCGCGAGGAGTACGGAGTGTGGAGGAGCTCCATCTAACTGGAACCATACCCTATGGTAAGCTGCCACAGACAATCCTTCTAAATATTCTGTTATTGGGCCGTTAAGAATATTGAGAAATTTCTGTGCATTCAGGTTTCCGTCAAATAAAATAGGGCCGATTATTTGATCTCCGTGTATGCCTGCCCAAACATTAATGGAAAATCGATATTGATGAGCTGATTTCCTAAATAAATGGGGATTCGTATGGCTCCAGTAACGCATGGATTGTCGGTTCCATATGCCGTTTCGAGCAAACGTGCTTTCATCTGTCCAAAACACATTTGTTAGGAAACGTTGGTCTTGAGACATTTTTTCCAGTACCCAGTGGCAGTAAGATTCTCTAATCGGCTTATCGCGGGGTAGCAGCGCCTACACCTTAACATATTTATAAGGACGTAGTTTGTTCCTTTTCAGCACTCGGTGTGTTGTTTTATGCCTCACTCTAAACACACGCCCAGCTTGTTTAAGGCTGCAGGTTGGATTCCGATCGAAATGGTCTAAGACTCGTTGTTCGAACGAGGGTGGAAAGTGACACGGAGCAACTCCTTCATGAGTGTTGGGCACTATGCGCTGTTTTTCCCTGATTCTTTGGACAGCACCTAGGATTGTCCGGATGCTAGTAGGGCAGACGCGAGTTGCGCCGTATCTCTCACTATAAGTACGCAGAGTTAACGCTGAATTTTGGTGGTATTCGACATACAATAAAACCATGTCTGTATACTCTGCCGCACTGTAAAAATGCTGTTGTCTTGGCATTTTCCGACGCCAAAACGTATACACAAAAGTCAAGTAGTGTCAATATCACAGTGAAAAAATAATAAAAATAAACGTACTTAAAAACACTATTTACACACACAAAGTCAATTAACTAATAAGTGTCTATTTCACCGTAAAAGAATTGTTCGACTAATTGTATTTATCTTACGATAATACGATAATTATCTTACGATAAATAATTGCGATGCGTGTAGGCAGCGAAACACACCTGTATTCTGGGAGAATTGCGCGTGAACTGGAAGCCGAATTTCCAAATTCCAAAATGGCGAAAATAATAAAAGTAATAAATAGGGCGGCCACAAGGTGCAATTATCGTTTATCGATACTTTTTCTTTTTACACTTACTTACCTACTACATTTGAATACAAGTAATTTCGATTTTTGATTTGATAACAATCGACAAGTTATTGATTGTTAAAAAAAAGTTATTTCTATGCAATTGAACTTACGAAACTACCGATTTGTAACTTCCTGGGAAACGTTACCCGTTTATGACTTTTTAATTGTACCGTATGTATGACTTTTTAATTGGTTGTTTTTATGGGTTTTTTAGCATGTTAAAATAATTTATTATCTCTAAATCTACAAGAACCCACTTAAACAAAAAAGCTTTAAAGTTTAGCTTTAAATACTTAGGTCGTAGTGTTTTTAGAATTATCATAACAACACGATTATTCTAAAAAAACCACACCCTAAGTGTTTAAAGCTAAACTTTTTTTTGTGTTATCGATTATTATTCCCTTTGAAATAAGCTAATCGTCGATAACTGGTGTCCTACTCTACGACAAAGGCACGCGCGCACTTGCGTTGTCGCCTTTGAAGTACGCCGCGTACCTCGTGCCGCTTGTTTATGGACGCCGACAAAAGACACCGCTGTCGATATGTCGCAATACCAATAGTTTGCACTGCGTGGCAACGTCGCTTTTTAATTTTCAAGGATTCAAGTTCATTGAATCATTGACTTAGTGACCCAATTCTATAGAGAGTTCAAATTTGCTTAAAATTAAAACTCTACTTTTTGACCTAATTACAGGACCGATTACGTTCATTTTTTTCATATCGTCAGCAAAGGCGATAACAAGTATATAGGTTTCATTTATTGCATATGTGTGGGACCCATTCTGTATGTATGATAAAACAAAAACCTGAAAGTTCAAAAACAAAATTTATGCTTTATTACAATAACCGCATAAGTTTAAAACCTTTCACCAAATATCAGAATATAAATCTATACAAAGATTAAGTTATGGTGATTTGAATTTTTTGAAATCTTAAAATCGCTCTTCTGTAATATCTGCGTCTTTTAGCTACTTTGTTGTACGTAGGATGTGTCGATCTAATGTGGAAGGAGGAGTTCTACAAGCAAGTAGATGGTG